GCCGCCGCGCGCCCTGGACCCTGTTTTTTTGTTTTGTTTTTTAAGATCTTTGCCATAGGGCACGTGCTCTCACTGGAGAGAGCGAGAAAGTGAGACATCCCTGGGGGGGTGACCACACCACAATCCCTTCTCTATTCTTCTCTCAGGGTTTTGGGTATGACACACGTGCCTGGAGTGTTTTTTAAGCCACCCATTCAGGACTCGAACCATGGAGCTGGCCATGTGGGTCCAGTCCCTTAACAACCACTCTACCTGCTGGCCTAGGGCTTTCTGTTTGTCGACCTACATTGGTTGTTTATGGATTGTCCCAAGCTTTCCTACCTGGCAGTGCTTGCCTGGTGGTTTCCCAGAGGTTTTGAGGACTATTTAATTTCCTAAATCCTTGTTGTTGTAAGTTAGTCTTTTCAAATGGATTCATGTGGAGTTGACATTGTACTGTTTGGGGTCATTCTGTCCAAGAGCATAAGCACTTTTCTACTCGTTCCCATTCCCCACTGTGTCCTCGGCTAGCACATTAAAGTCCCTGCGAAGCTCCTGTGTTCTCAGCGAGTGTCTCCCACCTCCCTTCGTGGCTCCTGTCTAGAGTTGCCCCGATGGTCTTCTCTCTGAGTAGAGTGCAAGTGCCCTCCTTTCCTCTCCTGCTGGGGGCCTGAGAGCCAAGTGCGTCACCTGCCCAGGTGCTCCTCTCACTTCTTCCTTGACAGGGGCTCTCTGGGAAGCAGAGTCACGTGGTGGAGGGCAGGGAGCACCCCCGGGCGCAGAGCCCGTGCCCTGACCAGAGACACCGGGTGCGGTTGGGAGCTGACTTCACTGTCGGGGTGCTGCTGTAACACAGTACCTAGGACTAGAGGGTTGTAAAGAACGAGGCTTATAACTTAGCTCGTGATCAGGGGAGGGCCACGTGCCACTCAGCCCAGCCGGAAAAGCAGAACGGCCAGCTGGTGCGCGCAGAGCTAACCCTGCAGGGACTGAGGAGGTTACCGAGACTGCCGTAATCTGTTCATGAGGGGTCCACCCCAAGCCCCAGGACCTTCTGCCAGGCCCACCTCCCGCCGTGCAGCCTTGAGGGGTGGTTTCCAGGTAATGCCTCAGTAGGGTCACTCAGACTATTGTCAGGTTGGGGGAGGCGGGGGCTAACGTGTGCGACAGGCCATGCACAGCCCAGCACCAGGAGGCGGGGTGATCTTGGTCATTGGCTTCCGGTCAGCCCGAGGTCAGCTACTGACCCTGCTCAGGAAGTGTCTGTCTGGGAGAACGGGTCTTGCACAGGGTTGAACTTGGCAGGTTGTCGGTGAGGTGTGTGCTGCCTGGCCCCGAGCCGTGCATGCACCTCCCTCCATCCCATTGTCCCCTCCCAGGCGGGCTGGACGACACTCTGCACACCATCATCGCTTACGCCTGTGCGCAGAACATTCCCTTCGTCTTCGCCCTCAACCGCAAAGCTCTGGGGCGCAGTTTGAACAAAGCAGTTCCTGTCAGCGTGGTGGGGATCTTCAGCTACGACGGGGCCCAGGTGAGAGGGGGACAAAGCTCTGCGGCCACTGCTCTTGTGAGGTCGGGGCAGAGAGGCAGGAGCTGCTTACAAGCAGTGGCCTTTGGCCCTTAAGTGCGCAGTGTCTGGTTCCAGATTCACCTCTGGGCTCGCAGCTGTCAGGCAGGCAGGCCCTTGCCCTGAGGTGGCATCCCCGGCACTTAGAGCCACAGGGGCTACCCTGCTGTGCTTGCAGGGGAACGACGCCCTCTCGCCATCAGGGTCACCTGTGTACTCTCACTTGTGCCCAAGGACCAGTTCCACAAGATGGTCGAGCTGACGATGGAGGCCCGGCAGGCGTACAGGAGCATGCTGGAGAGTGCGCGGCAGGAGCTGGCTGGAGAGCCCGGGCTCCAGGCCCCACCCCAGCCCCCCGTGCAGGGCCCCAGAGCCTCTTCTGAAGGCAGCGCCCCAGCTCCCACTGGAAGACAAGAACCACACTGCAGTGAGTGCTCTGGGAAGGGTCGCGTCAGGCTGGACGTCCTCTAAGTACCCTCAGCCTCAGAGTCCCTCGGAGCGCAGCTGGGCCACCCACCCTAAGACGGGGTCACAGGTCCTGGTAGGTCCAGGCCATGACCAAGGCTGGCTGTACTGGGTCCCAGCGGGTCCAGGCCGTTGCCTCAGGAGTACTACAGGCCTTGGGTGTTTCTGGGTTTGTTCCTGTCTCAGACAGGATGGCACCCCAGTTGAGGGCGGCTGAGTGGGGTTTCTCGAGGTCTTTATTCACCAAGGTGTGCCCTCCCAGGGATATAGTTAGTGTTCATTCGTGGCGCCCAGCCCAGCTGCGGGGACAGCAAGGTGGAGCCTTTGGGGGCCTCCCTGAGCACAGTGGGCCACCCGGCAGCACTGCAGGCGTGCACTTGCCCTCGCCGCTCCCCACTCCATGCTGGGGAGTCCACACCTCATGCAAGCCTGCCCTCTTGTGCCGTTCCTATTTCAGCCGAGGTCTGGAGAGAACGCCTGGAAGCGTACAGTCAGTGTGCCCTGGAGCTGGAGGAGTCGCTGGAGGCGTCGACCTCTCAGATGATGAGCTTGAATCTTTAAGAAGAGCGTTCCTTCTCATGGGGGGTGGGGCAGTTTGAAAAAGACTGGGGGCTTTGTCTTCTCAGTTCTTCGTTGACATAATATATTTTATGTGACTGCTGAACTGGGAATGAACTGGCATGAAACTATACTCAGACTCAAAGTTTGCAGTTTAAAGGCTGCAAAGCCCACCCGGCAGCCGCTCAGCCCTGCTGGCGGGGGCCTTCCCTGACAGCGTGGCTGTGTGGCGTTGGCTGGGAGCACACTGTGCGTCTGGAACAAGCTGCAAACCCACCTGGAGCACTCCGGCTGCGGAGACAAGCTGCCTCCCCACTGCGTTCTGAGCACAGCAGACTCCATGCACAGGACGTGGCTGAGGGGTGCCACCCTACGGAGGCCAGTGGCAGAGCAGGAGGGCTGTGCTGAGGCCCTCCCAAGGGACGTAGCTTTGCTGCTGCTTAGAGACAGGGACGGGGAAGATTTGCACAGTGAGCCTCAGAAGGAAAACCAGTTTCTAACCTGTGACTCTCTTGACATGAATTACTCCGTTTAGTCTTTATTTTTCAAAGAAATGGTATAAAAGTTGTAGATTCCACTTTCATAATCTACAAATCTTTATTTTTTTAAACAAATATATTCTAAATGGGGTTTTTGTCTTAGAGGTTAGAACAGAGTTTACTGTCCCTGTAAGCCAGGGACAGTATTTATTTTGAATAAAGAGTAATTATTCATTTTTGTTGCAGACTCTGTGGTTACCCCTGAGGCTTGCCAGTGGCCTCTGTCTTGCTCTGTCCCTTTTGAACGCCCTGTCCTCTGACCTGCAGGGAGATCCGTGTTGGCTGGCTTTCCTGGTCTGACAGTCGTGACCACTGCCAGCTCAGACACCACATAGACTTGCCGGCACGGTGCCCGGCGCAGTGCCACCTGCACTTGAGTTTTCGTCGGCTCAGCCAGTGGCAGGAAGGGTTTTCACTGAGCTGCTTGTCAAGTACGCAGGCCATTATTTTGGCTCTGAAAATTCTGTCGGTTGAATTCAGTTGCCCCTCTGGGACAGAGGTGACCCAGGAGGAGCAGTGGGCGGGCTGGGGCTGTACGCAGAGGCCGGGGTCACCAAACCTGTCTGTGGTTCTCACCGCAGTGCTTGCCGTGACAGCGCATGCCCTGCTTCTCGTCCCCGTGCCTGCTGAGGTGTGGGAAGTGGAAGCCATCAGCCAGGCCCCGAGTGCCAAGGCCCGAGCCGGCTCTGTGCACTGGTGTCTTAGGGCCACAGGGAGGGAGGGGTTTTCTGCCTGGTGTGTCTGGATCGAGTCTACTGTGGCCAGTTTAAAAGGTGATTATTTGAGAAGAAAAGTTCCAAAATTAATTTGTAGGGGGAAAAAAATAGCCTGTCGGCTGAATTTTTAAATCTTTTCATTGTCAGAGGGCACTTGAGCTAACAGAGCTAACCAGAAAAGGAGAGGGAGAAGCCTTCCATCCCAGGGCACGGTTACCCTGCAGTCCCTTCTCTTCCTCCTTCCTCTCAAGGAAGAAGGAGGAGGAGAGCCTGCGTGCACACATGCCCAGCATCAGACTGGAGTTGGCCATGTGGAGTCTGACTCCCTTAACCTCTAGGTGATGGGGCCAGCTTAGAATTCTTTAATTGATAAGTCAAAAAATGTGTAAAAGTCTTTATTGGAGACGGTCTTCTGTCCAAAGCCCCAGCTCAGAGGTCTCTAGGTCTGTGGTTTTTGTTTTACCAAACTGAGTGATAAAAGCAACTTAAGCAGAGTAAGTAGGTTTTGGTTTTTATTTCTTTAAGATGTTTGCCTTAGGGCTCACTGGAGAGAGAGAAAGTGAGAAACCACCTTGTAGGGCGATGGCCACGCCACAGTCTCCATTCTCTCCTTGGGATTTGGGGCATGCACGCACACATACCTCAGGTGATTTTCAAGCTCCTGTGTTGTGGACTCAAACTATAGTTGGCCACGTGGGATGTAGCTCTTAACCATCATGCCACCCGCTGGTCCGAGTGCATGGGTTTTTAACATTCTGCCACCCAGATGGGTTTCCTTGACCAACTTCTTGCCTGTGGGTTGCCCTGGTCACCTCATCACTATTCTGGCTATAAAGGCTCTAGGCAAAGGCCACTGTTCAGGTCACCTGGGCTGCCTCACCCTGCTGGCGGTGCTGTGCAATGCAGATGCATGGGACTGGGCCCGAGTAGTCAGCCAAGGCTGTCACTCTCCGCTGTGTAGGCAGGCCTTCGCTCAGCTGCCTCGCGTTTTCCAGCAGCACCCTGCGCGAAAGCTGCAGGTGTGTCATTGCTTTACTGAGCAGCAACGTGTTCTAAGTCCCTACCTTGGGAACACACACACAAGACCGAGGAAACGAGCCTGGAGCTTGCTCGTGATTTGAAGGGCTGTGGCCAGGGCCCATGTTTTACAGAAACACTTCATAGTCTGCACAGGGGAGCTGCTGGCTGGCTGGTTCCTGATGCAGGTGGCAGGACAATATGCCTACCTCATGGAGGGTGCTAAAGAACTCATCCAGCTAAGGGGATCCATTCCTGGCCAGGACCACAGGAGTGGAGTTTTGTATTTAGCAGGTTGGGTTTCAGGACAGACATGAAATCATCATTCCCCAGACAGGACAGGAAGGGACGTGTCTGAGATGAAAGACTGAGCTGTAGGACGCGGCCATCACAAGTTCACACACAGCTCCAAGGATCAGCCTTAGTAACAGGATTGGAAACAGGGATGACAGATGCCCATGAGACTCTCACACGATCGGTCACAGATATTTTCTGTGGCACCAGGAGATGGCAGAGTGGACTGCAGAGACTCAAGTCCCAGTGCTGGGCTCAGCCCAGAGACACGAATTGCAAGGCCTTAGGAAACAGGGAGCCAGAGTTCTGAAATCAGTGAAAACGTGGACATCCTAGGCCCTCCGCAGACCTGGCCTCATAGGGCTCCATGCAATGTATTTTGCCCTGGGGCCATGGCGTCCCCATCCCAGTGCTGCTCACCTTCAAGTTTGCTTGCTTGAGTAGAACAGGGAGAGGTGCAGGCTCCATTCCCACCCATAGCAGCAGCAACAGGGAGCTGGCCGCCCGCCCCCTGTTGGCTGATCTGGTGGGGTAGTGCATGGGGTGGGGGACACATGGGAAATAGTCACTGGGACCAAGCAGAAATGGCTTCTCCGACCGTGATGGGGGT